ACCATGTTCTGTCTATTCATTTTTGCTCAAAATGTACTAACTATCCAAGTTTCTGAAGGTCATTTTATTGCACTTGATCATTTAATGGTTTGTCCTTTTGTGGTCTGACCAAAAGTGAACTCCTGGTAGCACCTTAAAATGAGGTATTTGAGGGCTTTCTGTAGCAAAGTGGTTAGGTACTATGCAGAGAAAAGCTGCAGGGGTTTGAATTCTGGCCCCATTGGCTTCACATGGGTTGTGCACAAGTACTCAGGATACTGACAGAATGAAGGGAAAAGGATTTCAGTGTGACCAGGCCCAATGAGGGATGGTGACCCCTCCTTCTCTCTCTCAAAATCTTGCCTATGCCCTATGGCATTATTAAAGAAAAAGAGCCAGCAGGTGGTATGCTAGTTAATGTGCTGGATTCTAAGTGGCTGATCGTGGTTAGAGTCCTGGACCTGGTGGCTTGAAAATCATGCTAGGTGGGACCAGCAGTTAGCATAATGGCTGTGTCACTGGACTCCCACGTAGTCGACCACAGTTCGAGTCCTGGACCCGGTGGCTTAAACTCACGCCGGGCACATGTGCGTGCGTGCCCAAGATCCAGAGAGGAGAATGGAGGAGAAGGGATTGTGGCGTGGCTATCCACCCCCAGGGGAGGGGGGGACTTCTCACTTTCTGTCTCTCTGTCTCTCTCTGTCTGTCTGGAGAGCGCACGCACCCTATAGCAAAAAAAAAAAAAAACCTCTCCAAAAAAAAAAAATGTAAAATCATGCATGCTAGGTGCATGTGCATAAGTGCCCAGAATCCCAAGAGGAGAATTGAGGAGAAGGGACTGCAGGATGGCCAACCACTCTGAGAGGTGATTTCTCAATTTCTCTCTCTCTGTCTCTCTCCTGTGAGTACATGCATCCTATGGCAAAAACTTAAAAAAAAAAAAAGATGGGGTATTTGAAATGCTGATCCTTTGACACTTATAGGCCAGGCTTTGGTATGTCTTTACACTTAACAGAGTTTATTGAAAAGTTAAAGATATGCAGGTTACGCCACAAAAAATAGAAAAGTGAGGGTTTACCAAATGGGATAGGGGGAACTTTTAGGCTTTTGTTTGTTCATTTGTTACTTATTACAGTAAATTCTTAGTGAACTCCGGTCAAGTGAAGATCATTAAAAACCCTAGGATGGAAGTAGTTTTGTTAAGTGGGTGGTAATCTGAAAGTGCTTGTGCAAAAAACAAAACAAAACAAAACAAAAACAAAAAAAACAAAACAGATACAGCATATCACAGATATGAAGATTTGTCAGGGAAAAAAAGGAGATCAAAACATTTGAGGGAAGGGCAAAAGTTTTTTATGCTATGGCAAGTAGTGGTTCATGGTCTTCCTTTCTAAGACTACAAGTGGTAAGAGTCAGTAGTTATACAGGCCCAAACATTGGGCAAAAAAATCTAAGACATATTCTGGGACTGGGGCTTCTTATTTGTGGTGGCTTTCTATTTCTGAATATACATAGAAAGCTAAAATTAGGACAGGTAGGAAATATAACCAATGCTTTATTTCTTGCCTTTAAGTTACATGGATTCTAAAAGGCTTATTAGCTAGATGCAAAGCTGGGATGTTTCCCACTGTCCTAATCACAGTAATGTTTATACTCCTACTCTGTTTCCTCACACAGTGCCAGCTGGGTGACTTTCTGAGAGGTAGGGTAGAAGCACAACAGAGGTATGCTATTGCTTTGAGTGAAGGAGAAAGTAAAAAGCAACACTATAGTTACAGTGAGAAGACCTGGGCCACAATCTTGGCTTCTCCGTCTTACTTCATTTTTGTAAGATGGGAGTCATTATATCTACCTGAGCTGCTGTGAGGCTCAAAGGTGTAAATGGATTATGAAAATACATTGGAAATGGCTAAGCAATGTGAGTCGTTGGTAATACATCATCAGGTTGCTGATACAGCTTGGTGAATATATATTTTACAGTGGGTTTCTGAAGGGAAATGTATAAGCATAAGTAGTTGGAAACAGATTTTTTTTTTTGGTATGATCTTGTTGGAAAATGGCACTTCCATAATTTTGTGTCTTAGAATGAGTTTTGTGGGGTGCTCTGTGGTCTGGTGGTTAAAGCAGCCAGATTCCACACAGCTTATTGCTGTAGTTCTAGTCCCAGACAGGTGGCTTGAGAAATATGCTGGGCACCTGTGTGTGTGTACTCAAAATCTTGACAGGATGGAGAAATGGAGGAGAGGGGATTACAAAGTGACCATTCTCCATGGGGTGGGAAGGAGAGGGGTGTACTTTTTCCCTCCTCCATATTTGTCTGTCTCTCTGGTGAGCTTATATACTCTGGGAAAAATTAAAAAGAAGAAAGGAATGAGTTTTGTATTCTTTGTGAAGATCCAGTTTGGCATTTGGAGTCTGATATAAAAAAGCAGATAAAATAATTGACATTTTTTATTTAAATTGACCATAAAATCAAATAGCAAGTACTCTGGGAGCCAATGGATCTTGGTGCATTGTGGTACAAAAATCAGTTGCAGTAATTTACTTAAAGTTCTTAACCCAGGTGGAAGTTGATTTCTATATTTTATCTTACTTGTGTCTGATTTTATATAGAGCTCTAGATATGGCCATAGTCACAACTGTGCGTGATGACTAATTCATTAAATGTAATTATTGTTTGAATATTTGGATTTGCTTACCTCTGTGCTCAGAAGTAATTGCTGTTCTGAATAATATTCAGGATGTCTCCTTTGGGGAAATGGTTGATCCTTACCTCTTTTAACTTTGATCTATTTATTATTATTGACATATAAGATATTATAACTTAAACTAATAGAAAATGAAATCGCCATCACTCTGAAAGGCAACTATTTTGCCCACTTTCTGTTTGTTCTTTGTTTTTATGTTGTCAGTTTTAGTCCTAGGTCTTGTTTGAATATTTCCTAAATGCTGAGAATAGTCATTATTCAGAATAAGTGATGTGACTCTGCTTATATCATACCAAGGCAACATGAGCCACTTAGTAAGTGTTATATATAGGTCAGCAAACACATGCCATTCACTCAATAAATACTTGTGCACATACTGTCTTCAGGCCATTGTTCTCAGGGCTGTGAGGCATGCAAAGTGACTCATAGATGGATACTGCCTATAAGAAGTTCCTAGGTTAATAGGAGAGACAAAACATGGGTAAAAATCACTGTTACATAAGATAGTAGATGTGGATCAGAGCCATGAGAGTGGGGCAGGTGGCTATGATGCAATGGGACATCAGAAGGAGAGCTCATTTCCTAGTGGGAGGTCAAGGGAAAAACGACAGAGGAAGCAGCATTGAAGTTGGGAAGAACTGATAATACATTGCTTGTTTAGCTGTTTCCCGTGTGGCATGCATCACATTGTAACAGTTTTATGAGATAAGGATTATTATTCTTATTTTGTAGGTGAGAAAAC